AGTGTTGCCACGGGCACACATCCATCCATATATCACGCTCTACTGTATCATTATTATTACGATTCCGCGTTGTTGTTGAAATAATCATTGATTCCGCAAAATTTTTTCTTTGGAACTTTGAAATTAATTTCAGTTCATTCATTTCGGCGTTCGGCGATAATGATTTCAATAAAATAATCACAAATAATGTTCCGAAAACAGTTTGACCTGTTTTCCAGCGGTGGTACCACATGGATTATCGTTTTAAATTCGATCAGTAGGCGATCATTTGACCTGATTTAGAATTTTTGTTTGGTACCCGGGGAAATTTATCTCGTATATGGGTTTGAGAGTGTCATCGTGAAGATGAAAAAAATGCGATTTTGAGAGAAATTTTTTATTCTTTAAAAATTTCACGATATCACAACAAAATACTGGAGTAGTTCCAATAGAAGACGTGATCCGAACGGCACATCATATTCGGGTGAGTCTGCATTATCGAGTTCGAATTCGACGTCTGTTTCGTTGGATAAATCACAAACGGTCAGCGGATTGCTTAGTGGCCACCAGTCTTTTAGAAAATGCCTGATGCCGTTCTCCACCGTTTTTAGATAGTAGAGAAACGTATGTACGAGTGTAGTTGACCTGAAATTAATTTTTAATTTTAGGATGGCAAAAAATGTGACGTGAAATTTTTGAAAAAAAATGAATTGTAGTGAAATTTTGGCTGAAGTGTTGTTTGAGAAATGGTGAGGCAAATAAACGCGATTTTAGAGTTTTTTTTTTGGGGGGGGGGGGTTTGGATCGGATTGGTTTAGGGTTGAAGGGGGCGGGGCCCCGCTTTGGCCAAACGCCCCATTTTGGCCGTCTTACCTGACAATATTGTGGCATGACGCGTAGACATTGTTGACAATCAGGTGGCCTGTGGCTGTCATCGGCGCGTAAATTCCCTGGCTCAACTCTTCGGTTATCGATGTGATCATATCTTTAAGGAATCCGGCTGAAATTTTGAAAAAAATTTGGGAAATTTTGAAAAATCCCGGAAATTTTGTGAAAATTCCAAATTTGGCGGATTGGCCCAGTACCATTTTTGGCAAAATGACCACCGACACTATTCTGATGTGTTTTGCAGTCGCTCTCAATGAAGTGCTGCACTTCATTTGTAGAGAATGTTCCGGAGAGGTGGGTTGGCTGCGGTGTGTTCTGCTTCGAAAATTTGTGCTCCGTTTGATTTCACCAATTTTACCAACTTTACCAGCGAGTTTACCAACTTTACCAGCGAGTTTACCAACTTTATCAGCAAGTTTACCAACTTTACCAACAATTTTACCACGATTTTTTTCGATAATATGAAAGGTGTGACCCTCTCCCACGCCTAGTCAACTCTTTAAAGCC